GCCTCCGCCCGAGGCACCCTCTTTTCTGCAGCTCTCTCGAGGCCACTCCAGGCCGACCCGTCAGCCTCGGGAAACGCGCCGAGACAGGTGGGCTCCGAAGCCTGGCCAGGCGACAGCCATTCCCTGTCACCGCCCGAGGTCGAGCCAGCACCACCGCTGGGGAACCAGCCGCGGTGTCAGATTCAGCGAGCGCAGCTTCGTCCTGGCGCTTTGCGGAGCTAAATTTAGGATCCAGGACCCACCCCTCCGGCACGACTGTGCTTCTGTCTGCCAGTCAGTCCTCTACTTCCCTCCCACTTTCATTTAACATTGATTTTTAAAAAAAAACAAGTAGTACCTATGCAATCAATTTCCTTCACTTTGTTCGGTAATATTCTCCACCCTATCTCATTCCACCTCCCCCTAAAACCTTTTCTCTTGTCCCTCCCGGCCGTTCTTGCAGCCTTTTGCCAAGGCTTCCAGGATTATCTGCTTCCACACTCTCCTCCTTCCTCATGAAGGCCGCATAAGCCAGGGTTTTGCCCCTACCCCTCGTGGCGTAATGAACTTCAAGGTCAGCAATTCAAATCCAGGGGCTCCTCTGAGAGAGAAAGATGAGGCTGTTTGTTCCCATATATATATACAGTCTCACAAACCTCACCAGTCTACTCTGTCCTACGGTGGCGTCGTGCTTAGAGTCGACCTGCGATCTGAAAAGTCAGTAGCCACTAGCCACTCTGCCGGAGAAAGACCAGACTTTCAACTCCAATAAAGACTTAGGTTCTCAGAGATGCCTAGTGTGCCCTGTGGGGTCAATCGAATAATATAGGAACAATCATACTAAAATCTCAGGTTAAAACTTGGTCACTTGGTGACCCCATCTCTGTTTGCTTGCTTCCGGATTTAAAACACACCCTCCAATAATGTTGCTTCATTAACATAACAAGGAAAACCTGTTTCCAAAGGGGATTATGTATAACCACAGGTATAAGGGTTGTTGTTAGGTACCTTCAAGTCTGTTCCAACTCACAGCGACCCTATGTCCACCAGAATGTCCACTAGTTCTTTTTGGGACAGTGGCTTTGTGTGTTCAGAATGAAGCACTGTCTAGTCCCGCACCATGGTCACAAATGTTTGAACCCATGGTTGCAGCCACGGTCTCAATCCATCTTGTCAAGGGGTCTTTCTCCTTTTCACTGCCATTAATTTTCCCATTAGTTTATTGACCGTTGTTGTTAAGTGCCATTGAGTGTGTTCTGACCCATAGCCACCCTCCGCACAGCAGAGTGAAACACTGCCCAGTCCTGCAGCATCCTCAGGATTGTTCCTATGCCTGAGCCCATTGTTACAGCCACTGTATCAGTTCATCGCATTGAGCACACTTTCCTGTTTTCTACTGCGCCTTTACTGCACCAAGCATGATGTCTTTCTGCAGGGACTGGTCTCTCCTGACAACATGCCCAACGTATGCAACATGAAGTCTCCCCATCCTTACCGATAAGGAGCAGTCTTCCATAAGAGACTTGTTTGTCCTTTTCGCAGCCCATGTTACTTTCAATAGTCTTTTCCAGCACCACAATTCAAATGTGCCTTCTTCGGTCTTCTTGTGATAGTTACGTAATCTGGTGTCAATCTGAGGATTCAGAGTGAAGGGGTGGCATCTAGCCTGTCAATCAGATAGTAGCTTGATGACCTCATTTGGAGGCAGTAAGGAGATAAATAGCTTGCTGGAAGTGGGACACATGCTCACTCCCTGTGAGACATCCCTGTGGAGAAGACACATGGAAAGAAGCTGATGCAGCCAGACCTCTGGAGCCGGAGAAGCCACGTGGAGACCCTGCCTGGGCTAAGATGCTTACACTGACCGCCATTGGAGCCATAAGACCTTCCACCCACTGGCCTGTCATCATCCTACATTTGGCATCACTGCATGTGTTTCATCAGTCTGAAAAGGGCTATTTAGATTCGTATTGGACATATGGGCTAATATTGGACTTATGAACTTGATCTGAACTGGGCTGAGATGTTTTCTCAATACTCAGTTGCTCTTGTATATAAAGCTCTTTCTTATACACATATGAGTGTGCCTATGAATTTGTTTCTCTAGTCTATCCAGACTAACACATTCCTTACTGCATTATGTAGTTAATTGCACTGTTCAGGGCATATTTTTCCCATGGACTCTTTCAATATTACAACTCAAGACTTGACTTTTTTCTTCAGTTTAAGACATGCTGAGCATGTTCTTCCTTTTCGGTTTTCTAACTGTAGATCTTTACACGTTTCATTATAATATTTTACTTAGTCTTTTCAAGCTTCTCTTTGAAATTTTCTGTTTGGGTCTATGACTTGATCATTTCTTCATTCTCCTTAGCTATTCTATGATGAAGAACACGTTTCAGAGTCTTTTCAGCTTCAACCTGATCTTACGTTTGAGCGACTGTTGGTCTGTTCCATACTCAGCCCCTGACCTGGTTTTAGCTGCTGATATGAGCTTCTCCATCGTGTCTTTCCACAGATGGAGTCAGTTCGATTTCTGTGAATTCCATCTGGAGAAGTCCATGTGTATTGTTGGAAAAGGTATTATTTGTGATGAGAATTTGTTAGTCTTGCGCAATACTACCATGTGATCTCTAGCCTTGTTTCTCTCACCAAGGCCATATTTTCCAACTACTGTTCTTTCCTCTTTGCTTCGAATTTTTGCGTTCCAATTACCACTAATCATCCTGATTGCACGTTTGATCAATTTCAGACTGAGGGCGTTGGTAGAATTCTTCCATTTCTGCATCACTTGCTGTAATGGTTGGCACATACACTTAAATAATACTGTATTGAGTGGATTTCCTTGTCTAAGGATAGATAAGACTCTAACAGGCAGCATCGCACTCCAAGATTGTTCTTGGAAGGCCCTTTTGATGCTGCAAGATTAACGAGAAACTTCAGCGATAGTTATCAAGGAGGACAAAGTTTCGTTATTACACCAGCATTCAGGGTGTCAGCTATTGCGCAACCCACTTTGCCCTCTAAAGCGCCATCGTCAGGAGCCATGCTTCTTCTCGCCCTCAGGCCTGGTCAGGGTGTTGACCTTGGCTAGATCACTGTCATAGAACCTCTTCACAGCCTGTTTGATCTGGTGCTGAGCGCCTCCGCGCCCACAATGAACACACGTGTGTGTTACCCTTGATCTTCTTCGTGGTGGGTTCGGTGGTCTAGGGGAACTTGCTGACGGCATCCTGATCAAGCTTGTTTCTCCTGGGGGCGCTCTTCGGAGGCATTTGGGTTGCCTTGTAAGCCTCAAGGTCTTCGGCCAGTAGAAGGTGCAGATCTTCTTTGGGGGAGCGTGTATGTGTGTGATTGTGGATGCCTTTCAGCAGGGCCTTCTTGGCTTTTAACGTCTTTACTTTGGCTTT